TTCCCAAATTGAAAAAATAAGAACTGCTTTGTATTTTATTTATCTAGGCAGTATGTACTTCTTATAAATAAATTCAGAAGTAACAGTTAGGTCGCCATGGGATTAAAGCCATATACAGTATATGAAATGTAAGCCAAGTAATGAATATAGCCATATGAGCCGCAGAACCGACAACCGTTGGGGAAAACGAGTTCTTGAGTGGAGACCGCGTCTCGGCAAACGTAGTGTAGGACGCCTACAGGCCAGTGGTGTGACGATTTGCGCAAGATGGCTGGCAGGAGCTGGATGCGAGAAGCCCAAAATCGATCTAAGTGGCGTGCAATGGGACAGGCCTATGTCCAGCAGTGGACTGCGATAGGCTGATGATGATGATGATGTATATATTATTATGTATAGCGCTAAATACTAGCGTTGTTCTATATTCCAGATAAGGAGACGATATGACATAAGCACAATAAAACAGATAATACAAAGCTTTCACTTAACTGTCAATGATAACAAACTACCATATGTCAAAGTGGAAGTTCATCTATCAGATAAAAGCCATCTTGTCATGTACTCGTATTGTTCAGTCTGGTAACAATGGGACTATTTTAATTTTCCAGTAATTTATTTATAATACACGTGACCACGTATTGAAAATTAGTGGGATGTCGGAGCAATTTGTGTCTTTTATGCCTGCCCCTGTGCCGGATGACCTCACTCCTGATGCGATCCCTTAGAGAAACGAAGCGCATAGCCATTTCCATTTGAACTTACCAGCCGTACCGTAAGTGTCCACGTTTCGGCTCCATATGTCATGACGGGTAGGACGCACTCATTAAAGACTTTCGTCTTAAGGCGCAAAATGGGTGGCAGGAGTTGGATGCGAATAGCCCAAAATTGATCTAAGTGGCGTGCAATGGGAGAGGCCTGTGTCCAGCAGTGAACTGCGAAAGACTGATGATGATGCCTGCCCTACCCCCTCCCCCCATTTATTTTTGAGTTACAGGTGTCCATGTAATGAGTGCCGATCGACAATGTTCATCATTACTCATATTAATATTAATGTCCGCAGTATTAATTTTGCGTATACTCGTAGTTTAACAGTATTATAAGTTGTAAAAATCACTACCGATTCTAAAAAAAGATTAGAACGTCAATTATACTGTAATTAAAAAAACTGGCCGGTCACTATAAACTTAAAAAAACAATTTTGAAAATGGAACTTCTTTGCCGTATGCCAAAGTTCAGTATATGGCGCCATTTATTTGTTAACTGCAATTTTTATATACATCTTTTTTTCCATGTTGTTTAAGTCAAGCTGAGGAAGACCTGAACTGGCGTAATTCTCATAACTCTCTGTCCATCTCAACTTATTTATGACCAAGATGATTCACGTGAAGGCCGACAGGGAACATCAGAAGAGATTGTAGAGGTAATTAGGTAAGCCCGATTAATATTATTTGGAAAATATGAACGTGTAAGTTTTATGCGGTTACATATACATAACACTTCATCAATCATCATCATCATCAACAGCCTTGAATAGTCCACTGCTGGACATAAGCCTCTCCTTAGAAAGGAGGTTTTGGCCTGGTTAACATAAAACTTGCTTGGTTTTATATTTGAAAGATGGGTTTCTTCTTCGAAAAAGTGATGTTGAACACAGCCTTTAGTGAGCTGAACATTTTTTTATTTTCCTTTAGTCGGCTCTTACGACACCCGCTCTCCGTCCATTCTTAATCCAACACCACACGGATAAATTTCAAAAATATGTAGCTTTAATACTTTTGCAATATTAGGGAACTCTTTACAATTATTTTAATATTTACGTTTTATTCCGGGTTCATGTCCAAACTTCAAGTCCGTAAACAAGAAATCCCGTAAAACTTCTTATATACCAGAATGTTATAAATATCCTAGAAGTTGGTGCAGTACAATATAATTTTATTTTATTTTTTAGCGTTCCGTACCTCAAAATGTAAAAAAGGAACCTTTATAAGATCACTTTCTTGTCCGTCAGTCCGTGTGTCACCACCGATTTTCTCAGGAACGGGTAGAGCTAGCAAGTTGAAATTTATACCAAATACTGAGGTTTATGGTCCCTATTAGGTGTATAAAAATCAAGGTCCTGAGTCAACACGATAAAAAGATATGGGCAAATTTCAAATTTTCGCCAAAACTTGTAAGTACCTACCAAAATTTACCTTAATTTTTAACATTTTTTTTATTTTTCAGAATTTTCTCTTTACTTTTGCTGTAAGACCTTGCTTTCAACCAAAATTGACAATTCTAGGTCAATCGGAAGTACCCTATAAGTTTTGGGTCGAAAACCTATATGGTGATTCCCGTTGATCTCTTAATAGAAATATCTAAGACCGTAAGTATACGTGAATATTATATATTCAACTTATTTTTTAACAGCTATTGCCCTCCGCCAGCGTGTATATCGGTTTTCGCGGTTAAAAAGTAACTTTCCATTGGTGAAAGAATTTTTAAGATCGGTTTAGTGCTTTAGCCATGAAAGCTAACAAACAAACAAAGTCACTTTTATATTTATAATATAAACATCGATACAATGTTTTCAAAAAAAAGTCTACTGATACAAGATTTGTTTTCCTGTACGGCTGATAATAGGTATGTTATTGTCGATTTGTTGAGCTCAACTAGATATAGATATAAAAATTAAAATGCAACGCATTTGCAGTTAAATAGGCAACTGTAAAAATGACTCTTAAAAACAAATAATAGAAACATGATAAAAAATAATAAAATGAGAATAATAAATTAATTTTGCGACTTTATACGTATAACGCATAGATATACAGTGATATTATGATTCATTCCTACTTAATACCTACTTTATGTTTTATTCGTTAAATAAGGCGATCAGACATCTTTATATGGACTTATGTTCCGACCAGGTTTCAGTAAGACTGTTGTTGATTCCCAAATTATTAGTTTTTTTTTTTTAAAGTCAAGCTAATAATTATATCCTAGCCTAGCCAAGGAATATATCCTGTCTCGCGGGGGACTTTACAAACATAAATTAAACGGACACAAAGACTCAGAACAACAATTTGTGGATCACACAAAGTGTCGTCCCATGTGGGAATCGAACCCACAAGACTCAGCGTAGTAGAAAGCGGCGTGTCGACCGCTTAAACCACTACGCCATCCGTGCAGTCAAAGTACCATATTATAAAGGTATTTTTTTTTAAATACAACTCCTGCACTAATAATATATCCTGTGTCGCGGGGGACTTTACAAACATACATTAAATGGACACAAAGAACACCCAGACTCAGAACAACAATTTGGGATTACACAAAGTTTTGCCCCGTGTACGGATCGAACCCACTACACTCAGGGCAGCAGGAAGCGGCAAGGTAACCGCTTAAACCACTACGCCATGCACGGACGTCAATAATATATCACGAAAGTTTAAAAGTCAAAAACATACATACATTCAACATACGTTTACACAAAAAAAAATCTCTCAGCTACTCATTTTATTTACATTAAAACCGTTTTATTTAACATTATTAAATAAATATCAAACATGGGACAATTATGTAAAATAGTTCACACATGCTCATTCATAATAGCTGTTTGGTTACCTACGAATCATTTTTTTTTCCAAACAACCTTCAATTTACATACCTATTTATATTTAGGCACTTATAAAACTATTTAATAATACAAACACAATTAATTATTTACATATTTATTAGACATTATAATAATAATGTTTATTAATGTTTATTAAAACTCATTCACAGTTGTTTGATAATGTTTTAAGTTCTTGAGTTTTGCAGTTCTTCGTAATAATGTGGATTTAGGTGTGTTTTTATTGTGTGAAACCTACTGTGTACTGAGTTTTTTTTTTATCTGAGGTGGTAGGCAGTTCAGTAAACATAACCGAAACTACAAAAAAAACCGATACCGCAATTAAAGTTAATATTATAGTTGTGAAATAATTTTATTAAAATACAAAATATGTGTAATTACTTATCTTTATTGAGGTTTTATTGGTCTATAGATCCAACTACTAAAGACGTGCTTTTAAAACAACTTGGTACAGAATACTTTATTTAAATGGTAAAAATAAAATTTAACTGGCCTGTTGGTCTAGTGGTTAGTGACCCTGACTGCTGCGACAGAGGTCGTGGGTTCGATTCCCACCCAGAACAAATAATTGTGTGATGAGCACGGTCATTTGTTCTGTGTCTGGGTGTACTTTATCTATAATATGTATGTATTTAGAAATATTTAAATATGTTTATCAGCAATCTGCACAGGCTCTGCCTAGTTTGTGATCAGACGGCCGTGTGTGAAAATATTTTTACTATTTAGTAATATATTTTTGTTTCAGACAAAAAGTATTTTATAAGCACAATAAGTATAAAATAGTTTGGATATTGTGATATTCAAACAATTTTATAGAAATGTTGTCTGTAAGAAATTACTTAAACGAGAACTAATTAACAAATGTAATCCTTGTAAAAATTCTGGTGGTGTACCAGAAAATTTAATTCCATTCTATTTTACCATGCAAGTCCCTTAACAAAGGTTGTGCCTTATCTTAATGGTAATAACATTAAATAAAATGAAAACAGCTAGATTGGACTTTCTAGGGGCTTCATGGTCAGTCGCCAGTTGGAAGCCTAAGGAGAAGTACAAAGGACTGTTTCTAAAACTAACAGTAATTAAAAAGTATATTATAATTACAGGTGGGTAGTCAGACATAAAGAGTAAAAATTAAATTGTTTTAAACTTGAGTTAAGGATAAAAATTATAGTAAATTCACATTAATAATAATCATAAATTTGATGTTGTGCTTATATAAATTTAATACTCAACTAAGACATTATGTGTTAATCAATGAAAATAGACGAAGGTGCCAGATTAATTGATAATTATTGTCAATTAAACTCAAATGTTTATTGAACTGTCCAATACACGTGCGTTCGAAAACCAAAGTTCTGTAAATACACTGAATATTTAATATATTTACCTGTGCGGCGTGGGCGCCGCGAGGAACACGTAGTTGGTCCCGTATGCTCCCGTCAACAGCACCGGCAGCGCCAGTAACAACGCCAGCCGCGCCTGCCATCTACCCCAACCGGAACACCACTCCTCGCGCACTCCTGACATTATCTATACCACAAATAAACAACGCTGATTCTAAACTTAAAACTACTGACTCAGTACGAGTGCTGACTGTGATAAAATAGAATCGCGCCCGCGGATTATAAAACGACAGTGTTGGTCGCGTCCCTCCCGGTGGAAGGTCGGCGTGGTTCTGAGCGGCGCGAGGAGCGCCCACGCGACCCATACCCAACCCATTCGCCGCCTCGCCCGCTACCCCCCTTCAGGATCACCTGTTTCAGCTTACGGCTCAAAGCTAAACCGAGACAGTTGACCCAGTATGTGATAACGCGTGCTGACACAAACTCGACCTTAACCCAACAACTATAAGCTACACTCACAATGGTGACATTAACGGAAGCAAGACTATCGCCACGTGCTTGCGCTTGAACATAAACACTCAAGATATATAATATATATAGCTGTAGCTGACCCTGTTTGGATGTATGACTGTAAACTTAATGTTTTACCGAATTCATTTTTCATGACTTATTTGGCAGAACTCCAAATAGGGCAATGACACATCGGAGTAGTTAATTTTTTTGCCTAGAAGCACACAGCTTTAGGTAGAAAGTGATAAACGTTTGGTCAATGTGTGTACCGCACGCCGGAATCACGTGTGCTCCTTGTCGAACATCGGCCAATGCTACCATTACATTCATAGTTTTAGATTGTACTAACTGTGTACGTAAAGATCAATGTTCCAAATAAGTTTTTTTTTGTAGTCACTAAGCGCTAATCACGAGAGGCCGTCACTAAAGAAAAATGTGCTATAAAGCTTATTATACACTCAGGTATGGTGTCAATTCAGGAAGGACCTGAAATAACATGGTCCGGGTCCTCCCAGAGTAGGGCCTGAGGAATACCGTCAGGGTGGTTTTTAATGGAATCACCACATACTCCTGGCTCCTGATTCCCCGAGGAGCAGGAGATCTGAAGGGATTTTCCAAAGGGTCAACAAAAAGAAGGGGTCCAATATTAAACGTGATATTTATTTATCTGTTTATTACAGTAAACAAAATAATCCTCTGTCTAATAGTAGTCTAATAATAGTCTGTCTGTCTGTATGAACGCGATAAACTCAAATACTACAGAACGGATTTTTGTATGGTTTTCACCAATAGTAGTGTGATTGCTGAGGAAGGTTTAGGACTATAATACAAGATGGTTTTATGTAAATTGACTGAAATTTAACGATTATTGTTAAAGAAGTTGCAAAAAATATTACGCCGTGAAAAAGATTACGGTTACCGAAATCCACGCAGGCGAAGCTGCGAGCGGAAGCTAGTAAGTTATTAAGGTTAGCTGTGATAACTTGACGGAACTAAATAAGTCGAAGGTCGTGGGTTCGATTCCAACTCAGGACAAATATGGTGTGATGAGTAAGATCTTTTGTTCTGTGTCTGGGTGTACTTTATCTATAATATGTATGTATTTAGAAATATATAAGTATGTTTATTAGCAGTCTGGTTACCATAGCCTAGTTTGGAATCAGACGACCGTGTGTGAGATGTGTTAGGTTTATTATTATTTAACGATTAGAGAATCCAATAATAAGATATAAATAAATAATATAATCTATACAAATAAATAAAATTGGAGTGTCGGTTTGTAATATTAAAGTAACCGCTTTTTACTATTTTAAATGCATATGTATGATTACACGGTACATATGCCAAAATAACATTTTTTACAATTTTTGTCTGTCTGTCTGTTTGTTCCGGCTAATCTCTGGAACGGCTGGACCGATTTCGACGGGACTTTCACTGGCAGACAGCTGATGACATAAGGAGTAACTTAGGCTACCTTTTTAAGACTAGCTTCGCCGCGCGGCGTTGCCCGCGGTTATAACAACAAACGCGGGTAACACCGCGGGTCTCAGCTAGTAAATAATAAAACTTAACAACAAACGAGACAGATCCTGTACTATGGTAACCAGACTGCAGCTGATAATCATATAAACATTTCCATCTATACAAATAAATAAAATTGAAGTGTCTGTGTAATGTCAAAATAATAGGTTTTTCATGCTCACACGGTTATTTGCACGACACATATGCCTAAAAACCAGTTTTTTTTATCTGTCTGTCTGTCTGTTTGTTTCGGGTAATCTTCTAAACGGCTGGACCGATTTCGATAATATTTGACTACCAGGTACCTGTCTACATAAGGAATAACTTAGGCTATTTTTCCTCCCAGAAAAACCCTTTACAATTTTGCCCAGTCCGGGCATTGAAACCACTAAGGCAGCGATTTTCAAATTCCACGCGAACGAAGTCGCAGGTACCAGCTAGTTTTAAATAGTTTCGACACTGATCAAATTATGAGGATCATTTACCGCTAAACTTGTCTGTTATTTATTTTTTTAAGTTTTTTGTACTGCACTTTATCTTTGCGAATTAGTAACAATGTATGATTTTTTACTTCTGGTTTAAGACAGATCTCACCTCCGTAGTAACCATATGAAAATATTAAGCAAAAATAAATTAATTCATATGTTTAATAGAATATTTTAAGGGTCTGACTATAAAATGCAGGAACAGTATTTTTGTGGATGAAATATTATAGCCTATGTAATTTTGTATCATCACATCACCTCAACAGCCTTGAGTATTCCACTGCTGGACTCTCCTTAGGAGCTCTTAGCTTAAAGGTAAAGGAGGTTTTAGCCTACTTTACCACGCTGGCCAGACAGGTTGGTATAGGGTTTGTGTCAAGTTTTCCTTCTCTTTGCAGTGCTGTTATCCTACGTAGTTTGCTCCCTTAGTCGATTGTTACGACTCCCACGGCATAAATACAATCACACTCCATATTCTTAATCCGTCTCCACACAGACAATATCAAATGATACTATCTGTGATACTGTCTCTCTGAGTGACTAAATAGTGTACCCCGGCAAATTCTATGTAAAATCACAATGATCGGTTGAGCAATTGAAACGTGAGCTCATTTAGTGGGAGACTCATGCTTCGGTATCTAGGGGTCGGCTCCTAAACTCTGGAGGGTACACTTAAAGGGTGGTGACGTACATGTGTCTCTTCAGCTACAGATTTTAATGAGCGGCGGTAACCACTTAAACGGCCACGGCGGTAAACACGGCCTTTTATACTATAAAAAAGCTTAATAAACAAATAAACTTATCTTTGTATTAATATTATTAATAAGGATATCCAACCAATCAATATTAATTACCATCAATATCTAAACAAAGTATTTCTGTTTGTTTGAGATGTTTTTTGTGTCGAAAGACTTTAACTCAGCTTTGCATACCTGTCCTTTATACTCATATCTAAAAAAGTCTGCTGGTCCGTCTAAAAATAATTGACATTTATTCTAAAAATACATTTACACAGTGTCTACACACCGGCCGCCGCGCCAATGAGTCTAGGAGCACAGCACTGCACAGATAAAATATAATACTTCCGTACAAAAACATCACTTATTGATACTTATTGCTGTAAAAAGTGACTTAAAACAATGACATAAAGTACGAATTGCCTTAAAATTAATTAAAGTATCGTCAAAATCGTCAAAGTAGCTAGTGTAATCTCCTATGGAAAAATGGGAGATTTTATTTTCAATTAATGTTTAAGGATTAATTAACCGTTACCTATTTGTGTAGGAGTGATTTACGGTGTTTTAGAAGAGTAAAGCCAGACACGCACTATGAGCATTCCGTCTTTGCTATCAAAAGCTCGCAATGCCAACAAATATTAAAGATAAAACTAAAATTAGGGCGCACCTGGCCTAAATAGGTTCTTCAAAGGGTTTCTTCTAATACGTAATGCTTATTTAAATTGCACAGAATGTCAGTCATTGAAAATTTACCAACAGCAACTATAGTTGTAGAAATCCGAAAATAAGCTAGATGAAGACTGCGCATGATCTAATCGCTTAATGGACAAGTCGTTGAAAGAAATGTATGCTCAGCAAAGAACAGTGTCTTAAAAATGAGAGCGATTTGAGCAATTTATAATTTAGGCAATCGTTGTTCAGAAATTTAAAGAAATAAACATTATGACTGTTTCAAGTCAATATTATATATGGAAATGTAATATAAGTTCATTAAAAACAAAGATAGCTTCTTGAAAAGAACTGATGTACTTTAAATACCAGAAATAGAAATAACCTTGTTGTACCTGCCTCAAGTCTTCAAAAGATAAACAAGTCATTTCGAAGTCAATGTTGCTGATACTATAATGAAATCCCAAATAGTATACAGATAGATTTTAGTATGAACAAATTTAAATCCAAAATAAAACGTAAATTATGTCAGAAAGCCTATTACTCAATTGTGGATTACATAGAAGACAAGAATGCTTGGGATTAATAGCACAGGCTATTTCGTAGTGGAAATGTGATGTGGGCTAGTGTCTATTATTTAATTTGCCGTATTACTTCATTTTCTTTTTCCTGCCATTTTTATTCCATATCTTGTTTTCTCTTCATTGCCTTTTTACCTTTTAGTCCTTAAAATTTAATGACGCCATTGTATGTATCGGTTAATTAAACTCAACGTAAGGCTCATAAGGCTCAACCCCTTGGAAATGGGCGGTTGTAATCGGCACAGGCATATAAGAGATTTTCGATACGTATATAAAATTTAGATTGCTAAATATTTGACCAAACAGAGATTATTGCTATAGTGAGTTGATCTATGACTTTAGAGTCTACACAAGAGACGATTTCAATATCAACTTTTTTAATTGTCCACTGCTGGACATAAGCCTCTCCATAAAAAGAAGAAGAAAGAAGGTGAGAAAAAGTCATCATAAAAGACCTTTATTTTTTAGGGTAAATTTGAGAAAAGGAAATTCGTACCTGTATCCTATGGGATGCATCTATTTCTCATTTTTAAGTTTCTTATTTTAACTTCTTGATCTCCTCTAGAATACTGTCATAGAAACTTAGCCCCTGAGCTCATGTATTCAAAGATAATTTTAACAAAAACAAATAAAATAGAGAGAGAGATATACCAGAGAGAGATATAATAGAGACCAACAATC